CTTTGTTGTGAGTAAGGTCATCTCTGACTCTTCAGTCATAAGGAATCTATCTGCGAAAATACGAGGTCCATTGCACACAACATTTCACACGTGCAGTTGGTCAGCAAATTGTGCCTGACAACACTGTCAGGTGACAAAAGAGAGAGTGTAAAGAAGGAGCTGAATATGAACAAAGTTTGATAGAGTGATATCCCAATGTCGGCTGTAAGCTATGTGAGTGTGCTGAGAATTCGAATTCTGAATGAGACAACAAAAATTTGGAATTTCTGCTGCGTTGGTTACATCTGTTTTTATGAATATGTTTCAGGTTCAACTACTTCTTCCTGACAGTGATCTACACCACATGAAACTGAGAAATGAAACTCAGCTTTCAGAACTCCTTCTCCTGGTATTCTCAGAAGAGCTGGAACTACAATCTATTAAATTTAGGCTGTTCATCTCTATGTATGTGATCTCTGTCATCGAGAACCTGTTAATTATCCTGGCCATCCTCTCAGACCCACACCTCTACACACCCATGTATTTCTTCTTTGCCAACCTGTCCTTCTCTGGCATCTGCTTCAACTCCACCACCGTCCCCAAGAAGCTGGTGAACATTCAGACACACAGCAGAGCCATTGGCTCTGCAGGCTGCATCACACAGTTGTTCTTCTTCATAATCTTTTCAGCACTAGATGACTATCTTCTGGCTGTGATGGCCTATGACCAGTTTGTTGCTGTCTGTAACCGCCTGCATGACAGGGTCATCATTAATCCCCCATGTCTGTGTGCAGCTCGTTCTATTGTGCTGGACCATCCCTATACCGTGTGGCTTGTTAAACAGCTTGTTGATGCTGAGACTGAGCTTCTGCAGATGCCCCTGGAAATCCTTCATTTATCTGTGAGTTAAATCAAGTAATCTACAGAGCCTGTTCTGACACCTTTCTCAATGACCTCATAATGCACTTTTCAGCTGTGCTTTTAGAGGATGGTACCCTGGCTGGGATCCTGTACTCTTACTCAATATCACCTCCTCCATCCGTGCCATCTCATCAAAACAGGGCAAGCGTAAAGCCTTTTCCACCTGTGCCTCTCATCTCCACCATCTTCCTATTTTATGGTATCTGCATAGGTGTGTACCTCAGTGCCAATGCTGCCCCAAGTTCAGCTTCAACTGCAGCAGCCTCGGTGATGTACACAGTGGTCACCCCCATGCTGAACCCCTTCTTCTGCAGCCTGAGGAACACAGATATGAAGAAGGCTATGAAAAGACTGTTGTTCCATCAATGATAGTGGAACCCACGGTGTTGGGGTATAAGCAGTGTCAGTTATGTCATGCCTCAGACAATGTGATGAATTTATCAGAGGAGGAAGCAGAACATCCTAAATAGGTTCACATTGTTTTTTTTTTAATGCTTAATCCCTCTGAGTAAACAGCAGATGAATGACCAACTATATTGCATTTCCTGTTATCTGGTAGATTAATTTAAAAATGTAAAGAACATTGTAGAAAAACTAAAGGAGATGACAGCCATTGAAATATGACTAATATCTTAAAATTTTATTTAAGAAATACATTAAACCTATTCAAATTATATCCATAAAAGATTTAAAAATATTTTTAAATTTCTCTTTTTAAACAATTTTACTTAGTTCGTTAGGGTACAAAGGGTCAAGGGCTACAGGGAAGTGGGTAATGCCTTTGTTTCCACACTAATATCATTTTTTCCCCTGTATCTGGGCTCAGGAGAAACAAAGGGAAAAGCCCCACCCAGCCTCCCACCCATCGCAGGTCCCTGATATGAGGCATGCTGTGAGGGTCCTGCTCAAGCAGTTTTGATAGTTCAACATGTCTGATTTGTTCCAATTTTGCCATTCCAAACATGATGAAACCTATTCAGAATTCACAGGCTGACATAGTGTCTTCATGATTAGGGTTCTGAGATCAGCAGTTCAGTTGGAGGGATCTCCAAAGAAACTTCATCTAAGATGATTCCAAACCTGATTCTTGTGTGAATTTGCCAGGACAGGGTCGGGCACAGTCCGTTGCCCCAATCAGCTTATGCACATGCTGGTCGAAGCAATTGCTGGGTCAGTTCTGTTTCCAGCCCTGTCATCCACTTGAACCAATGAGTGATGTAGTCCAGCTCGATCCTACCCACCTCAAACTTGGTCTGCATGCAAACAAATTGGGAGCTGCAGCCTAGTTGGGGCAACTCCCCATAACCCAACTAGGCCTGTTCCCTACCCTGGTTCCCATGCATGCCAGTATGTACCGCAGACTTGTTCAGTCTGTCCCACATTCCATTTAGCTCTTGTGCTTGCCAGTGGGCATTGAAACCTAGTTCAATCCAACCAACCTACTATTCAGCCCACACACATACTGTGCTCTCCAGTGGGAGTGGTTACGCAGAGGGAGGTGTCCACTATCTCCCTACTAGGACCCTCCAATTTCTGGTTATGCACTCTCCAGGTGGTTCTGGCATTTAACTTAACAGAATTATCTCCCAGTGCCAGCCTCTGCCAGTTGGTGATGTGGCAAAGGCCAACCTTCACCCACTCTAATTTTTGCTTGCACCAGTCAGAACAGTCAGCCCAATCTGGCCCTTCCCCAATCTAACCCACATGAGGCCCACAGGTGTTGTAGCCCTGCCTGGTCTGGTCTGACCCCTTTCCAACTCATGCTCTCCAGTGGGAGTGGTTGTCCAGCAGGGCAGCCCAAATTCCCCTGCCAGCTTTGCCTCCCCCCAATTTTCACGTGTGCTGTTTGGGCATTGCAACCACGTCTGGTATGGCTCACAACACCTTGGCATTCCTTATTCTGCCCTGGTATGTGTTGTGACTGAAGTTGGCCCAATCAACACTCTATTCTGGTGTTTGGATTTGCCAACAGTTGATGTAAAGGGTTCAGCCTGGTCTGTCCCCCACCTGTGCCATATGTATAATGTTGGGTATATTCCTCTGGCCTGTTCTGGGTTGCTCCATATTGTGGTTCTTGCACTCAACTGTAGGGACTGTTTACTGACAGAAAAGTTTCACAAGCTGCTCTTTCAGAACCTCTCCTTATGCCAGATCTTGTGCATACTGGTGGTTCCATGGGCCAGCCCTCATTGCTGGACTTCAATCAACTCCAGTTCTTAATGTTGGATGTTTCATCCCATCCAAGGCTTGTCCATACCCAGACACTGCTCACATATGGCTCAGTAGCAGTGGAGACACAGCCTAGTCCATTCTACATCTACCCAGATTCTCCAGAGCACCAGGTGGTGCTGGCGCCTAGCTCAGTTTGGTGTGTCCAGCCACAGTCCAAACTTGTGCCAAGGGATATTGCAGCCGTACCCAGACCAGAACGCAGCCCCCATACCCTAGCATGGGAATCCCATCCCAGAAATGGTGTACTCTCACAACTCCCCAACCAAGTCTATTCCCAGCCCTAGATTGCGGGCATGCCAGTGGGTGTTCTGACCCAGTTGGCTTAGCCCCTCACCTGTCTCAACCTTCAATGCTGTTCTGTAATATCCCTGCCTCATGCAGACCACTTAGTGTCAGAACCTAGATCAGAATGACATGTGCTCCATCCAGATTTCTGTTCTTGTTCTGAGTTGAGGTTTGCTTGGCCCTATGCGGTCCTCCTCCTTCCAGTTGCTTCTAGGCCCAACCCACATCCTAATTTAAGATGCACGTTCAGATGTTGCTGCCCTGACCTGCCCAGTTTGCCAATGGTTCCTTTACCCAGAAGTGATGGCAGGTGCCATGGTCACTCCTAACTTAGCTCATTGCCACCCCAGCTCGCGAGCTAATTTGCAGGACTTATATTTCCACAGGATTGTGTCCACACTTCCCTCACAGAATCTACCCATGGACCACATTCTCTCACATGCTGGTTAGTGTCTTGACCCTGCCAAATGTGACCAGTCCACTCTCCCACCACCCAATCAGGTAATTGTACCTAACCCTGCAATACAGGCTTCAATCCATGGAGCTTTGGTGTGGACTGTTGTGTGGAAGTTAGTGATGTGCTGTGCTAACAGTCCATCTCAGGATCAATCTGGCCCGAATGGATCTTATGGACTCTCCCCTCCAAACCACCAGATTTCAGTCCCCACGCTTGCCAGAAAGTTTCATGACCATGTTACTAGGAATCAGGCAGAATTCATCTCTCACCTACACTAAAACTGGCTTTATCCATGGGTGTCCCTACATATCCCCAAAACCCCAGAGTTAGCTGCCAGGGGGGCCAGGAGCAGAGCCTGGCAGCACTTGGTGCACTGGTCGCCCAAATCCAAGGATTCAGTTACTGCCTTCCAACAGTGGCTTAGGCCTGAGTCCCCAGAATTGTTTCCAACCCAGCAGTGGCAACCCCCACAGTCACCACACTGCAGGGAGCAACAAGCTGCCCCCAATCTCAAGGCCTGAACCCCTCTCAAACACATCTTGCCACAAGAAAAGGAATACAATATTAAAGTTAAAACTTTTACTGGAGTATTCAATAGCAGACTGTCAAAAAATAAATTAATTATTTTGGGCTTTTCATATAATGATTTTATTTATTATGCATCTTTTTTAACACCTCAGACTAATTTCAAATTTAAAACTGAGAGGTAGTAAAAAGAATCCCCATTTTACTCCAAAACCCATTTTCTGGGTTACATCTCATGTTGACATCTTTGTTATCATTATATATATATGTATATATATATAATATACATAATATATTATTATATTATATACAAATTCCTTAATTTTAATCAAAAAATCTATTTTCCAACATTCATATTGAAATTGGTCACTTGAATTCTTGAAGTAGGAAGGAAAAAGAAAAAGAACCTAGAGTAATAAATAGAACCATATATACACACTTATTTAATAGTCTCTGTTACAGAAAAGACAAAAGGAAGCAATAGTCAGTCAGAAAATATGGAGAAGAAAGAAAACCATGAGAGTCTCATAACTGGATGGGTGAACGGAGTGAGATTCTCATGTCTACATACTTTATGTTGCCGTCTTGTCAAACCCACGGATCAGATGGAGGACACAGAAACTAGATGAGACTGTTTTTTGAAGACCCTGCACATGGCCCTCTTGATGTCCCCATTCCTCAGGCTGTAGATGAATGGGTTGAGCATGGGGGTGACCACTGCATATGTCACTGAGGCCACTGCACTCTTCCTAGTAGATATTGAGAAAGCTGAGGTCAAATACACCCCAAAGGCTGTTCCATAAAATAAGCCAACAACTGTGAGGTGAGAACCACAGGTGGAGAAGGTTTTATGCCTCCCCTCTGGAGATGGGACCCTCAGAATGCAGGAAATGATTTTATAGTAAGAGTAAAAGATCCCTGAGATAGGGAAAAAGACAAATAGAAGCCCAACAAAATATATAAATATGTCATGGGTCAAGGTGTTTGTGCAGGTGAGGTTGAGAAGCTGAGAAGGGTCACAGAAGAAGCTAGAAATTTCCAATGTTTTGAAGCAGGTAACTTCTAAAACCATCACATTGTGCAGTAGGGTATCCAGCAGGCTGGCCACAAATGTCATTGCAACTAGGAAGCCACAGCAGTGAGGGTTCATGATGACTTGGTAATGTAGGGAGTGACAGATGGCAACAAATCGATCATAGGCCATCACTGTAAGCAGCAAATCATCCATGCACCCAAAGATGATGGAGAAAGACATCTGAGTTAGGCAACCAGCATAGGAGATGTCTGTCCTGTGGGTGAGGATGGCAACAATCAACCTGGGAACCGTGGTGGAGGTGAGACCCACGTCAGCAAAGGACAGGCTGCAGAGGAAGAAGTACATGGGTGTGTGCAGGTGGCAGTCTGAGGTGACAGCCAGGATGATGAGCAGGTTCCCGAGCACTGAGAGCAGGTACATGGAAAGGAACAGTCCCAGCAGCACAGGATGCAGATCTGGATTCTTGGAGAAGACCATGAGTTGGAATTCTGAGATACGTGTGCGATTTTGGAATTCAATATAACCTGAATTACTTTTTGGAAAGAAAGCAATGTTGGTTAAATATGATAAACAATTGCTTAGCACTAGCATGTGTAGTTAGCTCATCTAGTCATGGACATAACACAAAGATATCACTAAGCCTCATGATAAGAATGCTATAAAATGGAAAAAGAAGGGTAGAGGCTGTTTTTTTGGTGGGGATGGAATTTTGAAATTCACAACTGTTATGTGATACGTATTTTGCCCCTAATTTGGTTCACCTGAGAGAAGCATCATTTAATTTGTTCAGGACTTTTATGATAGTTTGGCATTCTGCCTTCTTTCCTGTCACAATAAAAATACTCTTATATTTTTAAATTTTATTATTTCATTTTATGACATACTTCTATAGGCTCTTGGATTTCCCTTAATCCCTCTCTAACACATTGATTTCCTGTATAGTATTACAGTGGTAAAGTTGATAGAGTCCTAATTCCATCATTGTGGGCATGTACCATGCAGAAAGTCCAGTATCTTATTGGAAAGATAAATTTAACAGTTTCCTTGGGTGTCCATGATCTGAAAGTAGAGATGACAGAATATCATCCCCTCAAATTAAAAGCCACAATACAAAATCAACAACAGGAAATAAAATGGAATTTACAACATCATAAAGTTAACTAACATGCTACCGAATGATGAATGTGTAGAAAATGCAAGTTCTGTAACTACTTTGTTGACATCTCAATTTTAGTTTATTTATAACCAACTGTTATAAACCTTAAAATAGCTGTATGGTATTATTCAGCTGCCTCACGTCCCCTTTTATTTCCATATTTACATTTAGCTGTTTATAGTATTCAAGCAAGATTTTACGGATCTTTGTGAAATTTAGGATATTCCAAACAGGCTTATAACTCAAAAAAGCCATATATTAATGATTGAGGAGCAGAACAGTTTTAGGAGGAGTGCGCAGAGAAATCTTCAATATCTTAGTCAGTGAGCAGTAACTGATGTTTGTATCTTACTTAGTGAGGTACATGAGAGTCCAGGATGACTTTTCCTTGACAATAAGAATATTCTATAAGATATGTGAATGGAGTACAGTTGAGTTATAGAATTTGATACTTGCACCAATTTATTAAGGCATTAGCATTTTCTGTCCCAATTTAAAAGAAAAAATCATTATCAGCCACATGCTTTTAAAATATATATTCAGAGCCTGTTGTGGCAGCAAAAGGGCTAAAACCCTTGCCTTGCATGCACCAGAATCCCTCATGGCACCAGTTGTAATCCAACCAGCCCCACTTCCCATACAGCTCCCTGCCTGTGGCCTGAGAAAGCAGTCGAGGATGGTACAAAACCTTGGAACCCTACACCCATGTGGGAGACCCGGAAGAGGCTCCTGGATCCTGGCTCCTGGCTTTGTATCAGCTTAATTCTGGCCATTGTGGCACTTGGGGAGTGATCAATATATGAAAAATATTCCTCTCTGTCTCTCCTCTTCTCTATGTATTTGAATTTGCAATAAAATAAATAAACCTTTAAAAATACATGTACATTCAAATATAACATCGAATAATCTCTAGAAATCATTCACATATGTTAACTGAGTAAATATATCATCTATGTTGGATATTTCTATTTGTCTCTTTCAGACAAGGAAGTGCCTGAGAAGGGAGTAAGGATATTGGTATTTTTGTTGACGTCATTCACTCACTATTGACACAGCATATAAGGGTCACTACACCTCTTTGTGGTTGTATTCTCTACTGGATGAAGAATGAATAAAGATAAAGCTATGATATGCAGCATCATTTGTTTAATAATCTAAGACAAGTATAAGACAAATGAAGCATCGAGATGAGGTTCAGATCAGAAATATTTGTTAATTTTTTTTAAATATAGAATTCATCATGTTGGAGCAGTCACAAACAATAGCAATAATGTACAGACCCTTAAAGGAAATGACAGAACGCACTTGTCCTTCACACACACACAAATGCTGTTCTCTAGGCCCATGTGGCACTGCTGAGAGAACCTACAGTGCAGACAGGAAACCACCAAGTGTGGGAACATCACATCTTATTGGACAAATATTGGGGTTCAATGAGGCTTCCCTTCTATAATTAACAACCTGGAGAGAGGGATGTGCAAGTGTCCTGCAAGGTACAGGGTCTACGAGTCAGTTTCCAAACAGGTACCATATTCTTATACAAGGGGATATTATACATCAAAGAAATTTTGATGTATTTTTGTCATATTCTCCACTCCTTTCAGTATAAACATTCTTTAATGCAAAGTTGTTTTCTTCCTATTCTATGTGAAAAGTGTATATTTTGAAATGGTTATGTATGCATTTCAAACGTTGTTTGCACCATTTTTATGAACATTGGGAGTCTTATATAAGGACAGAAGCCAAAGGTCTTGTTATAGAAATAGGAAATTAGTACACCAGGCCAGAAGATATTTTAATTGAAAGAAGAAACAAATGAATTACTGAATATATAAAAAAAATATTCAAAAATCATTCAGGAAAATGTGAGATGGGTTGGGATTGCAGGCAGGAGAAAGTGTATGTGGGAACTCTAACTATGTTGCACCTAAATCAGTATTCTAAAATATGTGAAAGGTGTTCACTTTGTATAACATAAATACTTTTTAACAAGGGCAACTGCCAATGATAAATTATCAATAATAGTAAAAAACTAAGCTGCATTCTGTTCTTTTAATAATCTACGTTGTGATCATTCATTGTCTGGTCCTTATCAAGGCAATTCTTTAAACTAGCAATCAATTCAGATGACAAGGCAGTATCTCAGATACTGACAACCCACTCAACAGCTCAGAAACAATCAATGCCTTGGACAGAATTCCTAATTGCACCATCTCTGAAGCCAAACAAACAAAGTTCTTCTTTGCCTCCCTCATCATCAGAGATTTAATGTTAGCCGAGGTACCTCTGAGGTCCATTGTTCAAATCGTTCATGTTTGTGCAGTAAAAAACAGAAGCCAAGATTGCAGTTGTATGTCTCTTTTGGAATTAAGCAGGATGACTGCAAGAGTTGGGAGACAGAATGATTGGAGTCAATCTTGAAGGAGTGGGCTCTTCAGAGAGACGGGGCTCCTCCCTCAATGACCCTGCACCTGCCCTTGCTGAGATCTTGGTCTTGACACCCAGCCACTTTACCTGCTGCTACCTGCTGTGGTTTACCCTGAAACCCCACAGAAAGGTCAGAGCAAACAGGAGTCTCTTCCTGCAGTAATGGGAAAGGGTGGAGAGGGAGGACTGGACATGTTGCCTGTGTCTGCCTGTGGACCACCTGACTCACATGACATCACCCATTCTTACCTCATGAAGTTTGATTTCTATATAATCAAAATAATGTGTGGAACACCATGTGAGCAATCCTATAGAGGAAATGAAATGAGCTACTTACAGCCTAGGGCTCAGAGTATGGCACTCAGAACATGAACATCACAGTCCTCTGACCTAAAACTTTGCTTCTTGATTCTCTCTCAGCTATCTTCCCTAAGTTCCCTGTTTGTCCAGATGATAAGGAAACAATGCCCCTGCATGGTTCCACCCACTTCCTCTATCACCCTCTGCACTTACTGGTCTCGGCTGATTCTGGGCAGGAACATGGCAAGTGATGATGGCTCCACTGATCCTCTTCTGCCTGTGGTATGAAGAGTCTTTGGCTCTACACTTAGGAATAGAGAGGAGACATGCTCAGGCTGCATCCTCCTGATGCAGATGCTCACAAGGGCAGTGGACATTCATGTGGGGCTATTTACGCTGTGAAGTCAGAGCCTGAAAAGACTGGCTAGTTACCAACACTGGGAAGTACTTGGGAGTTCAATGCCCAGAGCTCCCAATTAGCCAATTGGTCCATGATGTCCCCATCTCTGCTGGCGTGTTTATACTAATCGAAACAAGAGAAAAATAAATGCACATGGAATGTTTCCAAAGAAATTCCCTTCTCTTTCTTGCTGTTGATTTCCAACATGCCAGGTTGTGTATCAAACTCAGCTATTGGTTTTCATTTTCACACATCATCATAGGTTTCTTAGCCTGTCAATAATTCTTAGTGATCAGACATCCAGAGAGAATTCAATTTCATATGTCACAGATCATATACTATTTTAATTTTTTATTTGTAGTATTTACAATCTAATGATAGGCTCATATTTTCATTGCCTATGCTCTTTCTTTAGTTGGCAGCTTGTTCATTGGATTTTTGGGGAAATTTTACTGGTTAAAATATTGTTTATACATGGTATCCTTTCTTAAATAATAGTGACATAATACCAAGATGTTGAATTTATGTACATGCTTACATGCATGTGTGTTTGGGGGAGGCGTGTGCGGTGGGTGGGTGTGGTGGAATCATGCAGTTGGGTCAGATGGCGTGGGTGTGTGATGAGCACCGCTCCTCGGTTAGCAAGGCTGCGAGGAGTTTCTGGCTGTGTGGCAAGGCCAGGCAGAATGTCTCTGGTCACCTCATTGCTGCCTCATCCCATTGTATGTACACTCAATCACCTCTCTGATGATGTTTCATAGAATTCTCCTGAGGATGTTGTTGTTGTTTTTCTGCTAATGTGAAGTGATACCTGTAACTGATATAACACCTTATACTGATGTTATAATAAAAACATCTTTAATAAAAACATCTATAATAAAAACATCTTTAGTGACATAAGGCTATGACACACAGCTAAAAGTATACAATTGAGCCCATAATGTATACAATTGAGCCCACAATGTCTCCAAACATCCTGTTTATGTGCCCACCTTTGTCCTGAAGTTTGCCCTAGAATAAGTAATGTTTTTCTTAAGAAACGGCTTGATAATATTTGGAATAGATGGCAAACGTGGAAGTACAAAGAGTTTGTTTACCATGCACCTCGAACTACTACAACACATGATATGACGCATTCTAGTTTCTCACCACAGAAAGCAAAAAGTATATAGGGCATCTTCTAAAGGGAAACAAATGTAAGCCCCC